TTTTTTTCCTGAAACAGGGTTTCCCTGGCTGTCTGGAACTCACTCTGTAGACCAGGCCGGCCTCAAACTCACAGAGATCTGCCTGCCTGGAGAGTGCTGGGCTTAAGCAGTGCACTGCCATGCTCGGCAGGCATACAATTTTGGTTTCTCATTACTTTGTCTTGGTGTTGGTTTCTGCTGCTCAGTCTTTCCTCACCCCAGGGCACTTCCTTGTACACTTCAGCTCTTCTGTGTGTAGTCTGGCCAGAGAGAGACCAGGAGCCGCTGTCCTCCAGTTGGAATTTCCAGTGGCCACCTCTCGTCCTTCCATCTAACTTGCCATTTCCTTACCCAGGCAGTAACATGGAATACTCTGGAAAACGGGGCGGGGGGGGGGGGGGGGGGATATATGATCCCGTGCCCACCTTTGCCCTTCCTCACTCTAACGTCTTCCCAGTCCTTGGTTCGTGCGACTCCTGTTTCTTTCCTGACCCACCCTGGTTCTCTGCTCTGTGGCCTGTGTCCCCACGGTTCTTGGGGCATTGAACCTGTGCTGTCCCTTACCTTGTATAGAGAAAGGGTGAGAAAAACATTCTTCCAGTTCCTACCAAGCCTGAGGAAAATCGTGAAATCTCTGTACAGCGAATGACTTGGTGCTACATATGTATGTTTTTTAAATTTATATTAAAATAAGGTCTTTGGCTTTGGAGTTTGGCAAGAAAACATAGACTTACTTCGTTACATGGGTGTATATTCAGAATTCCAAGAATCGAAATTTAAATTTGTGATAACAAGCGACTTGCAGTGTGGAAACAGTATGAACATGCACTTACTTACAATAGAAATGACAGGATTTGGGGAGATGGAGGAGCAGTTAAGAGTGGACCCTGCTTTTGCCCACGACTCAGATTTGGTTCCCAGCGCCCACTTCAGGCAGCTCATAATCATCTTTAGCTCCAGCTCCAGGGGACCTGACGTGAGCACGTACACTCCAGGTATATACCCTTCACACACATATGCGTAATTTAAAATAATAAATTTTTTAAAAATGTGTAGACAAAATGGTTGAAGTTGTAGTCAGTTGGTAAAGCGCTTGCCTAGCATGCTTGAGACACTGGGTTCAGACCTTAGCACCTAGTAAGCGGATGTAATAGTACAGATCTGTAGTAGGTGTGGTGTTCTAACTGGTGAGTGGGTGTGACAGAGCAGGTCTGCAGTAGGTGTGGTTCTAACTGGTGAGCAGGTGTGACAGAGCAGGTCTGCAGTAGGTGTGATGTTCTAACTGGTGAGCGGATGTAATAGTACAGATCTGTAGTAGATTTGGTGGTCTAACTGGTGAGTGGGTGTGACAGAGCAGGTCTGCAGTAGGTGTGGTGGTCTAACTGGTGAGCAGGTGTGACAG